GGAGGAGGAGGAGGAGGATGAAGAGGAGGAGGAGGAGGAGGTTTTTTCCCGCGAGCACAGCGTGGGCGAGCACCTCGCGTCCACCTGCGACAGACCTGGCTAGACCTCCGCACCGCCTGAGGCGGCGGAGGAAGAGAGTGCCTCCACGCCGCTTCCAGCGGCAGAGGCCCTGGCAGCAATCCCAATCGACTCCAGAAAATCCAATTCCTGAGTCCTTGACAGCGCGACCACCTCTCCAGGCAGTCTATCATTCTTATACGGATGCTTACCTGCCAGCAAACGATTACGTCGAGTCTTGGCGTTGTGGTCCTTCGGGTCCTTAGGACATCCAGCAAGTAACCCACAAGCCCTGGCGCTCAAAAAGGCGCCGCACTCTCGACAGAAGGTATAGTGGCCTATTCGAGACAGCTTGTGTCGCCTTGGCCCCTGCAAAGGAGCCCCGTCGACACGCGCTATCTTCTTCCACTTACCGTGGGAGGAGAAACCCTTCCTGCAAAACTTACGAGACAACACCAACTTGGCCTTATAGCTGTGGGCCCGTCTAGCACAACAAGCACACCTCCAAGACCCCCTATCCCACTCCAGGACGTGCCGAGACCCTGGAGGAGGCAGCACCGAACGGCGCGGCCGAGGGCCAGGGGGCTGGGGGGCATTCTGGAGACGGCCTGTGGTGTCGTCAAACGTGCCTATCTTACAAGTCATATCACCGACGAGCCCAAGAACAGCACAAACCTCCTTGAACCTAGACACCCACGTGTCACGAGTGTGAGGCGGGATGGCGTCTAGCTTGGCTCCCTCCTTCGCTTGAAGGTCGGCGCATTGATTCCCTAGGTAGCTGCACAGCTCGAGTCCCTCGAGCTGCTGGGCCTGAGCCTTTTTGGAATGCGCTTTGGCCTTGACGACGACGAGGTCCCCCTCCCCCGAGAACGAATCCTCAATCGCATTCCAAATCATGTGCCATAAATCTGCATGCGGTCGCCTGGCTTGGCGGCACCAAACTGGGCCTCGCCTGAAGCCCCGAACGACTGTGGAATTGTCGATCCCTACCTGCAGAGGGGCTGTGCCGTGGCGAAGAACATTCAAAAACCATACAATTCAGCTCTAAGCACACTTTGTGCCTGCCTTACTCCTGGAACCGTGCCATGCATCGCTTTGCGCACGTTGCCGTGCTGGTCAACAAAGCAGAGGCCCCAACCGAACGCTTTCAACCCAGAGACCCCGACCCCCGACCCATCCGAATAGGCCAGGCCCGAGAGAAGGGGATCGTCCCCGTACTCGGGGTCCAGGGTCTCAATGCTGGGCGTGACGTCCTGGAAGGGGTCCCCCAGTGGGTGAGGCGCGAGAGCCCTGGAGAAGAGACGGGAGGAGGAGCTCGAGGAGGAGGCACGGTGGATTATATCAGGATAAGATTCACCTGCAGCCTGGCGCTGCCCCTGAAACGCTGGGCACCTACAAAATCTATGGTGTTGATTTCCTATGGCGTGCCCGCACTTTTGACAACTTCGATCTTCTGAGTGGCCAGCTCTCCACACTTTATCTTGCGTCCAAAAATCGCTGCACAGGAAAGCTAGCATAGCCGACTGCTTCTGGCCCTTTTTCTTTTTTGTCCTGACTGCTGCGCGACAAGGCTCGAGGAAGGGCTTCCGAAAGGGCATGCCTCGCTGCGTTGCCCAGTCGGTGAGCTCTTGATCCTCTAAACGAAGGTAAATATACTTGCGCAGCGTGCTGGCGCCGATCGGCGCATGTCAAACATTTCACCAGTGTGAGTGCGGATGGTGTGCCAGCTAGGCCAGGACCAGCCCAGCCTCTGGAGCGTAAGATTACAAGCAGAAGCTGGCCCTCGAACTTGGCTCCAGGGGCGATCTAGCGTCCGACTCCGTCTGGCCGCTTCGCGTGACATTTCCCTGCGCCAGGCCCTGGCCATGTCTACCTGATGCACTCCATTCCAGGCCTGCGTGGCCCACATGCATAGCGGCCTCTGCGATCCCTCGACCACAGGATCAACTTGATACGTCCAGAGTCGGAGGACTCTGTCTCGACCAATCGCACTACCGCCCAGGCTGCCCGAAACCATGACACGCATTCTGTTCAGAGAAACAGGCGAGACTCCTAAACAGCTCGACCCGTAGGTCACGGACGGGATCACCCCTTGGCGGACAACCCTGGCGAGGCGGGCCCCTTGCTTTGAGAGGGCTTTTAATTTTGACTTGCGCTGGCATGCGTATTTAAATCTCTTCTGCATTTTCTTTCTTTTGCGAACTACGGCGCCTCCAGCGCTGTCCACTCCCAGCTGTGAGCTGGTGTCGGTGATGGCAAGACCCAGGTCTTTGGCCCAGGCAGCGCAGCGATTTCGAGCCGAGGCCGAGGCGACGAGGATGTACCCTTTGCCGCGGGCACCACGGGAGACAGGGATGCGCCAGGTACCTTCAATCTCACGGATATAGAACGTGACAGCGGCCTGCAGAACATTGAGACATCGCAACGCTCCTCGGACTTGAATACTGAGATCATCGACGAATAACTTCATCTGGAGGCGAGCCCCCCAGGCTTGATGTATTGCATCTGTGACCTGCAGCACCACCATCTTGAGTGCCCTGGTGCCACCGATCGAGCCTGCCACAACGGCCGAAAAAGTTTGCATCGACTTGTTGGCTAGGACCCCTCGAAATGCAACCAGCCTGGTGGACGTGTAGATGCTGATGAGAAGCTTGGCTAGCTGCTGTGGGAAGCCGCACAGAGGGGCTACGACCCACAGAGCATTCATGGTTACATGTTCAAAAGCACGCGACAGATCCAGCACCCCCGTCACAGACACCTCCCCCTCACGCGTCCCCTCATCGTGCACCATCTGGTGCCATGCTGCCTCTTCGGAGCCCCCTCCAGGGCCCCCGAAGTCATATTTGCGCTTGGCAGGGCGCTCCCAGTCGTGAAAAAGGCCAGAGTGTGCTCGTTCAACTACACGCATGAGGGAGGGGAGGAGCCCAATCGGCCGTGTGCCTCCCGACTCCTTCGAAAGTAGGAAGTATATGATGTACCTGACCTGCGAAGGGAACTGTGCCGTGCGAGATATAAACATCACTAGCTGAATGAGGCAGTCTTTGCCTTCGTCCGAAATCCAAGCCCACCAGCGTGGGTGCCAGTGGTCGGAGCCTATTCCCGTCCTGGCAGGAAAACTCAAACATATTTTGGTAAACAGCTGGCGGTCCAGGTGAACCAACGGATGGGCGAAACGAGCGGCCTCCCAGGGTCGGTCTGAGGGACCCGTGCTTTCCTGTCCATGGGAGCCCCAAACATCAAACCACTCTTGCGCAGCCCTGTCGGCCGCTTCCTGAGGATCAGCAAGCTCGAGGTTGGAGACGGAGTAACCCGTGACGGGGGGAGGAGGGGTACGCCACTTGCTGATCCTGTGGATGAAAGAAGAGCCTGCTGCCGATTCCGTCTTCAAACGTTCTCGCCATTCTTTTGACCGTGTGGCTGCCTGCTGCCGCTCGATGGTCTGAGCGTTGGCTACAGCTCGTCGCTGGAGACCCATGATCTCGGGGGCCTGCTCCATGAGCGCTGGGCCCTCGAGACAAAAGGCGCGGTATCGTTCAAACTGGGCGATTACGTGCTCAGCCTCCTCCCCCAAGTCGTGAACCAACCGACTCCTTCCTCCTTCGATGCGGCGCTCGAGCTTTGCTCGTCGCGCCCGTGCATGCATCCAGGTACCTTCCTGCTGGGCAGCTTGTGCGAGGAAAATAAAATCACTGGCTCGTGCGGCGACCTACCGCCAAGCTCGGGAGCTAGGCGTTCCCCTGGGGCGTGCGTGCGATTGAGGACCAGCGAGGGGGGCCCAGGTCCACCGAGGGGGATCGCCCCGACCGAGGTAGGATTGGGGTTCTTCCACGCCCAGGAGATTCACCAGCTCTGTTTCAGCACAGTGTGAAATCTGCTTCCAAAGCTGGTCAAGCTGGGTGCCATTTAAATCGTCCTGATGATCGAAATCTGGCCACTGTGCAGGCTGCGGGACTGGTCCGCACGGCCTCTCCATTGGGAAAGGTCTGGGCTTGGCAAGCCTCCAGCCGCCTTTTGCTCGCATCCTGGACTGCGTGACTAGGCGAACGGGCGAGTGAGGTGCGGCTGCGGTGTCTAACACTTCTACCGTGTCTCCGAAAGCATGCTGGATGCGGGCGTCGATCACAAAGAAATCGATGATGCTGCCACCGCCGACTCCTGCACACGTGGTGGTGGAAGGGAGTCGCACAACTCCACCCACATCTTGGCACCAGCCCGTCTTGAGTAAGGACTCCCCCGTCTCGTTGAAGTCTGCTTGGAATACCCACGGTATGTCATACTGCTTGATGACCGTTGCAATGGATTCCAAAATTGACAAATTTCGAATCGTCCAACCTTCCCGTGTCCAAAAGTATGCCGTGATAATCATGAGGCCACCCTTCTGTCCAGCAGAGCACCAGCCCACTGCCACGCGGCCAGGCGACCCAGAAGGTGAGATATCAAACGTATTCATGCCTTCCAGATATGTAAGGCCAACATTCCTTGGCACGAGGAACCCAACTCCACTAGTCGGCCGTCCGCCTGGGCCGCTGACAGCTGGAACCAGCGCTGCCGTGTAATGCCTGTTGAAGCTGGCCGCCTCGATGTCCTTGGCAATAGGCGCGGTCAGCCTATGCTCCTGAAGGAACGTGATATGCATGGGGCCCACGATCTTCCTTGTAGCGGCCTCATCCAAGACATCAATAGCCTGCGCCCAAGATGAACAGTTGAAGCCTATGAACTCGAGCCCCACGTTGCGCGTGCCGCCCTTGCCTCGACGACGCGGCGGGCTCGGCTTCGGTGAACTTGACCATGTAGAGAATGATGTACTGACTGCGTCAGGAGGAGACCCTCTGAAGGGTTCTGGCTCCTGCGACGTGCTGGGCTCATGCCATGAACCCGACCATGTAGAGCATTGTGCGCTGGTACCTGCAGCCGTGGAGGCCAGGCTGCCGAGCCCGTGCGGGCTAAAGAGGTACTGGCTTGGCGGCTGCCTCCGCCCTGCGAGCCCTGGCGCGCTGCAAGGCCTCCGCCAGCTCCTTGCCAGCGGCTTCACGACCAGCGTCAGGGCCAGCGTCAGAGCTGGCAGCGCCAGGCGAAGCGCCCTGGGCACCCTGCGGCTCCGCGGCGGGCTGGGCTGCCTGCTGGGCCTCCTGGGAGGCCTGGGCTGGCGCCTGCGGCGGGCCTCTCTCAGGGCTCTGGGCCGCTGGCGCCTCTGCCGCCGCCGCCTCCGCAGGGGGGTCCTCGCGCTTGGCCTGGGCAGGCGCCTGCGGCGGGCTCCCCTCGGGGGTCTGGGGCGATGACGTCTCTGTTGCCGCCGCGGTCGCAGGGGGGTGCTCCCGCCTGCGCTTCTTGAAGGTCTCGCGGAGCATCCTGATCTCTTCGAGCTGCTCACGCTGGGACTTGAGAACGTCAGCCCCTGGCCCGAAGTGCGTGCGGACCGCCTGCTGCGCCGACGCCTCGAACGTCTGCTTGAGCTTGTTGAACTGCTGCCGCTGCTCGGATGTGATGTCCAGCCCCTCCAGGTCGAAGAGGGGGCCGTCCTCGATGACAAAACTGGCCTCTCCTTCGCCCAACAAGGCTGAGAGGTTGATGACCCCGCCGCCCTTGTTGGTCCCCTCGGGCTGAGGGTCCTTGCCTGGAGACGCCAACGCCTTCTTCTCCTGCGCCAGCTTGACCTCAGCCCCCACCAGGGCGTCAGCTGCCGCATCGGATCGAGCCTGGCATTCGTCGAGCCAGAGCTTGGCGTCGGCCAGCTGCTTGGCACGCTTCTCCAGCTCCCGACGGGCAGCCCTCTCCGCCGCGGCCGCCCGCTGGATGCCCTCCTCCAGGAGCGCGGGGCGCTCTGCAGGGGCCGGCGGGGCGAAGGCGCTCTCGAGCTGCTGGAGCGCCTGCCTCTGGGCCTCGGAGAGGGCCTGCCCGCCGAGGGTCTGCACCACCTCGCCGATCGCAAGCGGCTCGGTCCTCTGCGTGGTCTCCTCGGCTTCCTGGTACCAGTCGGCGCCTTTGTGGTTGTCCTGCCACCAGCCTCCGCTGCCGCAAGCCCAGACGCCACGGGGCTTGGGAACAGGAGAGTACGATGGTCGCAGGGCCTGCCCACAGCTGTAGCAGGACTGCTTGGTCTTGTAGGTCCAACGGTAACCGCACTTCTTGCATCCCACGTAGTCGGACGAGAAGGAGACCCTTGGCGCTGGTGACTTGCCGCCTCCGCGCCTGCGTTCCGACATGGCGGCGAGCTGGACTGGGACTCTGGACGGCAGCGCGTAGCTCCCCGTACAGGTCTCGAGAGAAGATGTCGGGCTGAACAGCCCTGGCACTGCCGCGGACTAGCGGTATCCACTTGTTCCCCTGCGGAACTCAACATCTTGAGCCAAAATGGCTACGGGGAGGAGGAGGAGGAGGAGGAAGAGGAGGAGGAGGAGGAGGAGGAGGAGGAGGAGGAGGAGGAGGACGACGAGGAGGAGGAGGAGGAGGGGGGGGAGCACCAGGAGGAGGAGAACGAGGACCACCAGGGAGGAGGAGGAGGAGGAGGAGGAGGAGGAGGAGGAGAGAACACCAGGAGGAGGACGAGCAAGACGAGAGGACGAGAACGAGGGCGACCAGGAAGAGGAGGAGAGGAGGAGGAGGAGGAGGGGAGGGGGAGGACTACCAGGAGGAGGAGGAAGGAGGAGGAGGAGGAGGAGGAGGAGGAGGAGGAGGAGGAGGGAGGACGAGGAGAGAGGAGGAGGAGGAGGACGAGGAGGAGGAGGGGGGGGAGAGCACCAGGAGAAGGAGAACGAGGACCACCAGGAGGAGGAGGAGGAGGAGGAGGAGGAGGAGGAGGAGGAGGAGGAGGAGGAGGAGGAGGAGGAGAGAGGCACCAGGAGGAGGAGGACGAGCAAGACGAGGAGGACGAGAACGAGGACGAGCAGGAGGAAGAGGAGGAGGAGGAGGAGGAGGAGGAGGAGAGGAGGAGGAAAAATGAGGGAGGAGGAGGAGGAGGAGGAGGAGGAGCAGGAGAAAGAGGACGAGCAGGAGGAGCACGAGGACGAGCAGGAGGAGGAGGAGGAGGACGAGCAGGAGGGGAGGGCGGCCGGCTGCCCCGGCCGGCTCCTACACATGGCTGTTAGGTTGCTTTGCCGGGATAATTTTTTATCAGGGAAAGTCTTGAGGGTCAAACTTTGTCGTTGGCCCCCGGGTTGCAACAACAACGGCTTCCGCCTGAGACTTCCTCACGCTTTAGCCAGGACCCCCGCTCCCGCCCGAGACTTCCTTTCATTTTACTCAGGAATCGCGCTCTCGCTTGGGGCTTCCTTACAATGTATTAAGGACTCGTTCTCCTGGCGCTCTGGAGTCGCGCTCTCGCTGGAGACTTGCTTGCAATTTACTGAAGAATAGCGCCCTTGCGTTGGAAATTCTTGCAATTTACTTAAGCGCCGCGCTCCCGACACCCAGGCACCCAGGAGTCGCGCTCACGTTTAGGACTCCCTCACACCTAAGAATCGGGATCCCGCTGCCCTTCGTGGCCCCGTTGCAGCCCTTCGTGGCCCCCTCGCTTTGTTCCGTGGCCCCGTTGCAGCCCTTCGTGGCCCCCTCGCTTTGTTTCGCGGCCCCGTTGCAGCCCCTCGCGGCCTCCTCGCTGCCCTTCGTGGCCCCGTTGCAGCCGTTCGTGGCCCCCTAGCTTGGTTTCGTGGCCCCGTTGTAGCCCTTCGTGGCCCCCTCGTTGCAGCCCCTCGCGGCCTCCTCGCTGCCCTTCGTGGCCCCGTTGCAGCCGTTTGTGGCCCCCTCGCTGCCCTTCGTGGCCCCATGCCTGTATGCCCTTCGTGGCCCCCGCTCGTTCGCGCCTGTGGTGGCCCCATATGCATGCCCTTCGGGGCCCCCTCGCTGCCCTTCGTGGCCCCGTTGTTGCCCTCAGTGGCCCCGTCCTTGCCCTCCGCGGCCCAGTATACGTATGCCCTTCGTGGCCCCCGCTCGTTCGCGCTCTTCGTGGCCCCATGCGCAATCCCTCGTGTCCCCGCTGTCGCCCTTCGTGGCCTACTTCTTCGTGTCCTTGTGGCCCTGCTGTCGTTCTCTCTCGCTCTCGCTTTCGCTCGTCGTCGTCGTCGCCGTCGTCGTCGTCGTCGCCGTCGTCGTCGTCGTCGTCGTCGTCGTCGTCGTCGTCGTCGTCGTCGTCGTCGTGGTCGGTCCCCTGTCCGTCCCTCTTGGGGTCGGCTCGGCGGTCCGCGGCCGCCCCGCCGATCAGCGCTGCCGCTGGCCAGGCCGACGGTCCGCGGCCGCCCCGCCGCTTGCCGGGGCCCGCCTGCAGGGAAGAAAGGTATACCCCCCAGAAGGGGCTCGATCAGAGACGAAGAGGGCGGGTATCGAAGGTTTGGGAAATACGCGTTATTGGACATTCGAGCAGATAGGGGCGAACAGTCTTAAACTGATTGTTGTTGTTGCTGTTGTTGCTGTTGTTTTTGTTGAAGTCTCATTTCTGAAAATAATTATTGTTGATCCTCCCCGTCTTGTGCACATCGTTGTTTCTCGATTCAAGTGCCCTTCCCGGGGCTCGCACCTTGTTCCTTTATCAGGGAAAGTCTTGAGGGTCAAACTTTGTCGTTGGCCCCCAGGTTACAACAACAACGGCTCCCGCCTGAGACGTCCTCACACTTTAGCCAGGACCCCCGCTCCCGCCCGAGACTTCCTTGCATTCAGTTCAGGAATCGCGCTCTCGCTTGGGGCTTCCTTACAACTTATCAAGGAATTGCTCTCCCTGCACTCTGGAGTCGCGCTTTCGCTGGAGACTTGCTTGCAATTTACTGAAGAATAGCGCCCTTGCGTTGGAAATTCTTGCAATTTACTCAAGCGCCGCGCTCCTGACACCTAGGCACCCAGGAGTCGCGCTCACGTGTAGGACGCCCTCACAGATTACCTAAGAATCGGGATCCCGCTGCCCTTCGTGGCCCCGTTGCAGCCCTTCGTGGCCCCCTCGCTTTGTTTCGTGGCCCTGTTGCAGCCCTTCGTGGCCCCCTCACTGCCCTTCGCGGCCCCGTTGCAGCCCCTCGTGGCCTCCTCGCTGCCCTTCGTGGCCCCGTTGCAGCCCTTCGTGGCCCCCTCGCTTTGTTTCGGCAGCCCAGTATACGTATGCCTTTCGTGGCCCCCGTTCGTTCGCGCCCGTTGTGGTCCCATGTGCATGCCCTTCGTGGCCCCGCTGTCGCCGTTTGTGGCCCCCTCACTGCCCTTCGTGGCCCAGTTTCTACCTTCAGTGGCCCCGTCGTTGCCTTCTGTGGCCCCGCATGATCTGCCCTTCGTGGCCCCCGATCGTTCGCGCCCGTCGTGGCCCCATGCGCATGCCCTTTGTGGCCCCGTTGTCGCCCTTCGTGGCCCCCTTCCTGCCCTTCGTGGCCCCGCTGTCGCCCTTCGTGGCCCCTTCGCTGCCCTTCGTGGCCCCGTTGCTGCCCTCAGGTGCCCCGTCGTTGCCTTCTGTGGCCCCACATGATCTGCCCTTCGTGGCCCCCGATCGTTCGGGCCCGTCGTGGCCCCGCCCTTGCCCTCCGCGGCCCAGTATACGTATGCTCTTCGTGGCCCCCGCTTGTTCGCGCTCTTCGTGGCCCCATAATACGCATGCCCTTCGTGTCCCCGCTGTCGCCCTTCGTGGCCTACTTCGTGTCCTTGTGGCCCTGCTGTCGTTTTCTCTCTCTCTCTCTCTCTCTCGCTTTCGCTCGTCGTTTTCGTCGCCGTCGACGTCGTCGTCGTCGTCGTCGTGGTCGGTCCCCTGTCCGTCCCTCTTGGGGTCGGGTCGACGGTCCGCGGCCGCCACGCCGATCAGCGCTGCCGCTGGCCAGGCCGACGGTCCGCGGCCGCCCCGCCGCTTGCCGGGGTCTGGCCTGCAGGAAAGAAAGGTATACCCCCCAGAAGGGGTTCGATCGAAGACGAAGAGGGCGGGTATCGAGGGTTTGGGAAATACGCGTGATTGGACACTCGAGCAGATAAGGGCGAACAGTCTTAAAACGATTGTTGTTGTTGTTGTTGTTGTTGTTGTTGTTGTTGTTGTTGTTGTTGTTGTTGTTGTTGTTGTTGAACATTATTTCTTCTAAAGAATAATTATTGTTGGGACCCCTGGTGCACGGCCCCCTCGCCGCGCCCAGGCCGCAGCCACATTTTTATCATTTTCGTGAGGAAGTCTCAGGTAAAACGATGTGATCCAGATCCGGTTGTTTTGTTACGGGCGGTTTTCCCTTGCAAAAAATAAGGCGAAGTGGACATTTCTTGCTCTAACATAACCAAACTTCACGAATCCCTTGCAAAAAAATAAGGTAAAGTGGACATTCGCGCGCGCAAGACGAAATCCTTCCAAAACCTTAGTGTTCGTAGCGATTTTAACATAAAAACATCAAAAAAACAATGTTTTTTCCAAAAAAAAATGTTAAAATTTCATCCCGCGCGCTCTCGCGGATTTGTAGGAAACCCAACATGTTTTAAACATTTCTGTCAAACGGGCTTTTGCGAGCAACTTTTTCACGTGCTTCGCTGTGCAAGAATGTGTCCAGTGCTGGAGCAGGGGGAAAAGTCGTATACTAAGCTAGCGTCCAGAAAATGTTACCACAACAAGTCACTGTACCCATGCGCCAGTGTAGTAGCCACGGTCGTCCGCAGGCCACGAAGTGAAGTGTCCGAACGTCATAGGGCGGGAAGCTGGGTGTGGGTGGTGGCGAAGAGTCGTTTGGAAATTTGGTAGAGCTTGAACCGGCCCCCCCACAAAGTGGGGGTATTGGCGGCGTCGTATGAAAACCCTGGCACTGGTGAGAACGGAGTGTCCCCACGTGCTAGTAATTGTTGTTGTTGTTGTTGTTGTTGTTGTTGTTGTTGTTGTTGTTGTTGTTGTTGTTGTTGTTGAACATTATTACTTCTAAAGAATAATTATTGTTGGGGGCCCCTGGTGCACGGCCCCCTCGCCGCGCCTAGGCCGCAGCCATGTTTTCATCACTTTCGTGAGGAAGTCTCCAGCAAAACGGGTTGGTCCGGATCCGGTTGTTTTGTTACGGGCGGTTTTCCCTTGCAAAAAATAAGGCAAAGTGGACATTTCTTGTTCTAACATAACCAAACTTCAAGAATCCCGTGCAAAAAATAAGGTAAAGTGGACATTCGCGCGCGCAAGACGAAATCCTTCCAAAACCTTAGTGTTCGTAGCGATTTTAACATAAAAACATCAAAAAACCAATGTTTTTTTCAAAAAAAAAAAAGTGTCAAAATTTCATCCCGCGCGCTC